GGGGGTCTCATCCGAGGCTTTGCCTTGCTTCTTCACTGGAAGTGGTTTTTACGTGGCGGGTCCCAAGCCCAGCGCACAACCCATTGCTGGGACGGGGGTGGTTTCGCAACCAAATACACGTTTATATAGCGAGCCGCTTGCTCCAAGCAGACACCCGCTTGCAGCCGCACCTACTGGTGAACAGACGCTGCAGACTTCAGTGAGCCCTTAAACCGAATAAGTCAGAGTGGCCCCACCGAAGCTCCCTCTCTTTCTGCCGTGACCCAAGGCTCCACTCGGATTGGTTACCGCATCTCGCACATGGGTTGCTCACGTTGCCCAGAGTGCGCGAACGAGGACGCAAGAGTCGGGATTGAGTATAGCCATGCAACTGTAACTGCATACCCAGCGCAATGACTATACCCCATTGCACTCCTATACACTATATATTATACGCCGTTTGATTTTACACAAGTAAGCTTTATGACATTTTTTTTTATTCAAAAAAATTATGACGCAAAAGTGAGTATTTTACATAGTATGAGTGTAAACCGGTTTTTTTGTGTAATCTAAAATATCGCGACTTTCTGTTTTTCAAATTACTCAGTTCTTTAGTGAACCATAACTGTGTTTGTTCTTCACTAACGTACATGCGTTTAGGCACATGCTTTTCAAATAATTTATGTAAAGTAAAGTTAAAAAGTGCAACACTTTGGTCAATATTTTCTTTATACGCAGGCCACGACAATTTAGACAGTTCTTTGCTAAGCTTTTTAAAGTTGGCTTTCGAAAAATCAAAGCGAATATTTGGTTCGTATGCTTGGGTACTGCAATTTTGACCATCACTTATAACTTCGTAAGATATCTCCATAGCAGGGTGGTAGACATCTTCGGGCAAAACTAGTGGATCAGACTTATTTACAACGGACTTAGATGCATCATCAACATAAACAAGATCTAATACTTTACCAAACCAAGAGTTCAGCCATCTCCTCTAAAAATACGTTGTTGCACGCACTAGACGCGAAACGTACGATATCATTGTCAATGATGCTCCATGATAATAATAATAATAATAGATTGGCGCTTACACAAATGTTAGTGTTTGGCCGAGCTTCTCCCAACACAATCATTGAATCAGAGGGTTTAGTCAGTAAATTAACTGATTTCAGTAAAGAGATGAGTCGTGAATACACCAATGTGTCAGATCGGGGAGGGATATAGCATAGAGCTAAGTAAATATACCCTTTTCCAACCTGTATACGAATGCATTTGAATTCTACTGAATCAATGTGTGGAAGACTAACTTCTTCAGATGGTATTGAAGAGTCTGCAGCGAAGAGTACGCCACCGCCGATTCTGTCCTCCCTATCTTGTCTATAGATATGATTATTATTTGGAAGAATCTCTGAATTGAAAATGTGAGGTTTCGGCCAAGTTTCAGTGAAAGAAAGAATATTGTTGGGTCATGGTTGGGAACACCTGCATCAGCTGTATTTATATTTGCCTTCTATTTACTTACTTATTAGCTAATTACCGAAACTAATTATCAAGGTCAGCTACGCAAAGTCATTCACTTTATTATTGCATTAAGTCATACCGCTAAATGTTCTTACATATGTAAGTTATTTGTATCGATCTCTTTTAACCACTCTTCTCAGTTATGTAGTCAGCGAACATACACACTCACTTTTATTGCATCTTAGCTTAGCGAACATACACACAAACATGCATTGTATCTTAGTTAGCGAACATACATACAAACATGTAGTACATGATATGCATGCTTAAGTTAATATTGAACTGCGTTGATTTTACCCTTTCTAATCACCAACAACATGTATTGATACTAAGTGCAAATAGCGTTACACTTGTTTATCTTTTTTGAAGTTTATTTTGGACTAGCACATGGAAATTGTATATAAGGGTGAAATTTGGAAATAATAAATCAGACTATTGTTGACCACCAACCTGCTGGCTTCCAACTTACTCAGCCCATTTATTTTGCTCGATTTGGATTTAGCTGTTTTCACTTGGCTAGTTTGCACGATCGTAGAAAACGCTCTGCGATCCAACATTTTGGCGCCCAACGTGGGGCTCGAGTAAGTATTCACATCTGGTATTTTCCTTGGACACTTGGTGGTCAGCACGGGACTCCACCATTGGACTACACCGCTGGACTTTATCATCCTCGTTGAGCACTGGAACCTAATTGCCATAACCATTGCCCAGCAGCACTAGTTTTCTGGTCTCCACTGGTCTCTTCTGGACTCCTGTTTCACCACCTTTACGCCGCCGCTACTGGTTTGCCTTCCGTCGTCCACCCAAACGTAAGTAACCACTATACGTGCAAATGTCAAGAAAAACATCACTCGAATCAAAAATATCATCGACGGTAGTTTGCGATCAGGTGGAAAAGCACTTTCACCTGCTGAATACAAGTGCCGCCTGGGTATCCTGGAATCTTATTTCAAGCAAATCCTGACGATTCAGACAGACATCGAAAGGTTGGATGCCGAGGATGGAGGGCGCGCTGACTTAGAGGACCTCTATATAACCACCAAACTCGCAATTCAATCGCAGCTGACGGAGGACCACAACGTTTAATTTTCGGACACAACGTGTGTAATGCAACAAGCCTCAAAACTGCCAAAGTTGAAGCTCCCCAACTTCAGTGGCAAGTATTCAGAGTATCAAAATTTCATAATCTCATTCAAGCAGATAATTGATTGTGAGTATAGCTTGTCGAACATTGAAAAATTCAATCACCTGCGGAATTGCCTACAAGGTCAAGCGTTGGAAACAGTGGACGCATTCAATTTAACAAATGAGAATTATCCAAAGGCATTGGATCGGCTAAAGGCTCGCTATAATAATAAGACAGTAATTTTTTTGGAAAATATTTCATCATTGTTCGAACTACCAGTTGTTACTAAAACAAGTGGTGTTCAGCTTAGAAGTCTTATCGATAAGGCTTCAGCAATTTATGGATCTCTCTTGTCACTCGGTACTGACATGCAAATATCACAAGCTATGCTATCTATTTAGTTTTGCAGAAGTCCGATGAACAAACCAACAAGAAATGGAAAGAATCACTAGATTTCAAATCATTGCCAACACGGGAAGACTGCACTAGGGTATTGGAGAGACACTGCCAGTATTTGGAGTCTATTGACAGCGCTCACACCAGCAACCCTGTTACCAACAAATCGCCATCAAACAAGTCAAAGGGCCAGCAACGAGGATACGCTTTTTCTTGCTCCAACACACCATGTCCAATTTGTTACAATTCAGGCCATAAACCTTTGAATTGCGAACGCTTCAAGGCACTTAGTATCGCTCAACGCTTTGATAATGCAAAGAAGTTTGGTCTGTGTATCAATTGCCTTTCAAAGGGGCATCAAGCAACGCATTGTCCATCATCGCATCGGTGCAAGGTTTGTCAAAGGCAACACCACACTTTACTTCATCGTGGATCAGCACCAAACCACCAAGCCACAAGTCCTTCATCTTCAACAACGGAGGCTACTGTACATACACATATGAACAACGCGTCCAGTGACAACATCATTCTTGCAACTGCAAAGGTTTGGGTTCGTGACTCATCTGGCAACTACAAATTGGGTAAGGCACTGTTACACTCCTGTTCCTAGGTTAACTTCATCACGGATGAATTTTCGCAAAAATTAAGGTTGTCANTGCGCGCTGACTTAGAGGACCTCTATATAACCACCAAACTCGCAATTCAATCGCAGCTGACGGAGGACCACAACGTTTCATTTTCGGACACAACGTGTGTAATGCAACAAGCCTCAAAACTGCCAAAGTTGAAGCTCCCCAACTTCAGTGGCAAGTATTCAGAGTATCAAAATTTCATAATCTCATTCAAGCAGATAATTGATTGTGAGTATAGCTTGTCGAACATTGAAAAATTCAATCACCTGCGGAATTGCCTACAAGGTCAAGCGTTGGAAACAGTGGACGCATTCAATTTAACAAATGAGAATTATCCAAAGGCATTGGATCGGCTAAAGGCTCGCTATAATAATAAGACAGTAATTTTTTTGGAAAATATTTCATCATTGTTCGAACTACCAGTTGTTACTAAAACAAGTGGTGTTCAGCTTAGAAGTCTTATCGATAAGGCTTCAGCAATTTATGGATCTCTCTTGTCACTCGGTACTGACATGCAAATATCACAAGCTATGCTATCTATTTAGTTTTGCAGAAGTCCGATGAACAAACCAACAAGAAATGGAAAGAATCACTAGATTTCAAATCATTGCCAACACGGGAAGACTGCACTAGGGTATTGGAGAGACACTGCCAGTATTTGGAGTCTATTGACAGCGCTCACACCAGCAACCCTGTTACCAACAAATCGCCATCAAACAAGTCAAAGGGCCAGCAACGAGGATACGCTTTTTCTTGCTCCAACACACCATGTCCAATTTGTTACAATTCAGGCCATAAACCTTTGAATTGCGAACGCTTCAAGGCACTTAGTATCGCTCAACGCTTTGATAATGCAAAGAAGTTTGGTCTGTGTATCAATTGCCTTTCAAAGGGGCATCAAGCAACGCATTGTCCATCATCGCATCGGTGCAAGGTTTGTCAAAGGCAACACCACACTTTACTTCATCGTGGATCAGCACCAAACCACCAAGCCACAAGTCCTTCATCTTCAACAACGGAGGCTACTGTACATACACATATGAACAACGCGTCCAGTGACAACATCATTCTTGCAACTGCAAAGGTTTGGGTTCGTGACTCATCTGGCAACTACAAATTGGGTAAGGCACTGTTACACTCCTGTTCCTAGGTTAACTTCATCACGGATGAATTTTCGCAAAAATTAAGGTTGTCAAGAAGTAAGCAGAATATTAAAATCCAAGGCATTGGTAAGTCGTCAACCAATATCAAGTATAAAACAACAACTAATATCAAATCGGTAGTCACTGGTTTCGAGCTGCCATTGACCTTCTGCATCACAACCCACATTGCCTATCAACCGGATCCAGAAATCGACATTTCTTCATGGAACATCCCAGGGAATACTACATTGGCAGATGAGGAATTCCACGTGCCAGGGAAGGTCGACTTGTTGTTAGGTACTGAAACGTTTTTCAGCCTACTGTCTGTCGGTCAAATTAAACTAGGAACTAATTTGCCAATACTGCAAAAACGCTGTTAGGATGGGTCGTGTCCGGACGATATCAAACAGCTAATAACTCAATCAAACCTTCATGTTTACTTACAGATAGTGGATCTCTGGATGCAAGGTTGGAGAAATTGTGGAAATTGGAGGAAGTTGCTACCGCCGCGGATCCTTGGACTCGTGAACAGCACAGTTGCGAACGATTATATCTCAGTACAGTCTCCAGAAAATCCTGTGGCAGAATAGTGGTAAGATTGCCCTTGAAGGATGATCCTAGTTGTTTGGGTGACTCATACGTTACGGCTTTGAGACGGTTTCATGCGCAAGAATGTCGTTTGGAGAAGTTACCTCTTCTAAAGGCGCAATACATCGAATTCATGGATGAATACAAAGGTTTGGGACACATGAGCGTTGCAACCCACTCGCGAAATGTTACCTAACACGTTAAATTTCATACAATATATCTTACACTATTTGTTTTTATAAAAGTTTATCAAAAACATCTGTCCTTGAATGAATTTATATTCAGGTAATTTTTTTTGGAATCGACATCAGCATCGGCTAAAAACTGGGAATCGGTCGGACTCTACTACACACTTGGAAGTTTTAAAAACCAGAGCTCGTAAAGCCATCAAAGTACGCTCTCGCTATGAGAAGTTATATATTTTAAGAGCACTACGAACGCTAGCGTGATTCACATTCTCTTCACTGTTTCACTCACTTATGAATTTGCTTGTGGCGTATTTGTAAAATAGTTTATTTGTATTCATGGCCTCGCTTTTATTTTTATCGCGAAAATTATTTATTACATTCTTTTTTAAAACACAAATCTTGAAACAACAAAAGCGCAAAGCTTTTTACGCCAAACTTTAAATTCAGAAACTGACAATAGAGAAAAGACTGAATCTAGAAAAATCGATAACAAAAAACCAAGCAAGCGGCGCATCAAATTTAGGGCATATGTATATAAAAGGATTGCTCAATGAGTCCGGGCTCAGTGCTGGAATTAAACCAACGTTCAGCCTCAGGGAATATAATTTCTTCAACATTGTATGTAGGTAATGGTGGCATACTATCTGTGGCATTGAAAAGCTACAAGTGCTCAGATCTCCGCCGCCGGCGATTTCCGCCTCGCCCACTCAGTGTTATACCAACATCCGTTTCTTTTTAGACTGCAGGTGGCCTTTAAAGATTCCCCACGTATGAAGACACAAAGTGACGGTAAGTGACGGTAAGTCAAAGCACAGACACTACTCAACAAATTTACGCTAAATAAACAAGCTAACTAAATGAAACATTTTTTCAATCCCGTGGACCAAAAAAATTCAAAATAATTTTTTCGCGCTCCTGAAAAATTTAAATTTTAGAGCTTCAAAGGCTTTTTCAAAGTCTCAATACGACCATTTTTACCTGCCGAAAACCACCGAAAAATGTGGTATTTTTTGTTCCCTTAATTTTTTGGAGTAGGGTATTATCTGCACATTGATAGGTACAGCCAAGCAACCATTTTTGGTCTTTACTATAGAAACCAGATAATTTTTCATGGTCCCACTTATTAGGATGTATTATGAGGTTTCTCTTCCCCAGAAAGGATAAGTAACTAGTGAAATCATTTCGTTGGACGTCAGCTGAAGAGTCGCCGTTTTAAACGCTTAAAATTTCAGGAACATAAACAAACGCTTTTAATGGTGAGTATAAAGACATTTGATTTGGTTTAAAATTTTTCCATCTAAGAGTCTTCCAAAAGGTATCCACAAATTTAAAAGGCTATACACATTTGGCGGGTTAATTTTTTTTCGACATGGTTCCTAGCAGATTCGGATTCTACGTGAAATTCTAAGAAAAAAAGTCCTTTAGACCATAGCTCTAAAATTAATTTCGAGCCTGCGCAATTTTTAAGAAGATATCGTTAATTAATACTAAGTTAATATGCAGATTAATATTTACTAAAGTGTTGCGATTTTTTTTAAATTAAAACTTGTGGTCGGGAATGATACAAAAAATTAATTTATGATATCTATTTTTTATTCAAAGAACCGCAAGATGACTCTACAAAGCAAATCTATACTAATATGTATATATTTTGAAAGTCGTTTGTTCTGTTCGAAAATCTCGAGAACGGCTCTACCGATTTTTTTTAAACTTTGGACACCTCCCTGCAGCAAAATTTAGAGACAGTCTGGCAAAGCGCTAGTTCCGCCCTACAAATTTTAGAACTGTCTCTGAACTACTCATATGTTGCTAGTTGCGCTGTCATAAATGTTACTCATCCCAGTCATGTGAAAGCTGACAAAAGAGGCACAACTGTACTATACCAGATATATTTTTTCGATTTTCTTCGACCCTGAAACTAATTCCAAACTCTTTTCGTTTATTTAATAGGGGTATTCTCTGAGTCTTGCAAAGCCCTTGCAAGGTGCACGGATTGCACGGTTTGCAAAGTTGTCCCATACGAAAACCGGTTTTTACCGTGCAATCCGTGCAAACTGTGCACCGTGCAAGGACTTTGCAAGACTCAGAGAATACCCCTAATATGTAATTGTCTAGTTTAGGGATGCCCAAATCAGCACATATGTGTCGCGGGCTGCGCGTGCAAAGCTTCGCACAGCAATGCTGGGCAAGCGCGGAAGCAAGTTATCGGAAGAGGAAAACGAAGTCAACAGAATAGTGAGATTGTATGTGTGACAGTGATGGAAAATGAGTGTACATTGTGCCATTTTCGGCCCTTTCGGAAGCAGCCGGCACCTTCAGCACAATCCATTGATTTTCGGCACTATTTTTGCGTAACTCAATGCAACTAATAAATATTTCTTTCGGATCCGCAATTAAAAATATTTTTTTTTACATTTAATCGTATGTGCTTAAAAAGATAAATGATATAAACATGGAAACGCAAGCAGAAGAATCTCGCTTCCACATTCTGCATATGGGTGTTTCCACCGGAAGGTCCACCACGACAAAAAAAATAAAAGTTTTATATCTAACGTATTTACGGGCCGATTTGTCTGCTTTTTAAAATATATACTGGCTATATAAGTAGGATCATGTTTGCATGAAATGGTCTTCCTAGGTGGTGCCAAGGTCGAGATATTTCGAAAAACCGTATTTATGGTCCGATTTGGTTCGAATTTGGCGTATGTGGTTGAAACATAATAAATCATAGATTTCCAATAAATTGACCCTGAATTGGCGCTGAAGTCAAAATATAAAGTATATTCTACATAAAATACATGTTTTATTTGCGTTGAAAATTCATTTAAAAGCAATATTAACAAAAATATAACGATGGAAATTTATGTCACGTCACGCCACGTCACGTCACGTTTCACACTTGGGGTTGTAAAAGAGAATTGAAACAATTTGCATTAATTCAAAAAACTCTAAAACAACTAGAATTGCTCCAAATCATATCAAAATAAGTTTCATCAAAATAGCCATCCACAATTCGCAGAGTTTTGCGATTTTGCAAGAAAAGAAAAAATCAACTTCCATTTTTTGTCACGTAACGAACCTCTCTTTAAATGCTTATATTTCAGGACCAAGCAGTTCGATTGATTTAATTTTTCGGTTAAATATAGAGCTAATTACGTGCTATACAATGGCCCAAAAAAGTTAAAGAAAACAAATGGTATTCCTTTTTTGTATAACATTGAAATCGTACGACTGTCACGTGCGCCACCATGGGAATGCCCATATGCGCTTAACATTTTTGTTTAAACAAATTGGTCGAAATTTCATCTCTAAAGCAAATATTAAATATCATTTAATATATACTTTAGATTTAAATAATCATTTTTAGTGGTGGGCCAGTCCGAGATGTTTAAATGATCGAGATAGTACATTCAATTCGCGTAGATTTTAGAGAACTTTTTTCGTTGAAGGTGTTGCACTTTTTTTCCATACTGAAATTTGTGTACATCATTTATCATTGTCTAAGAAAAACTATAAAATAAAGCTTAATTTAAAATGTTGGAATAAAAAACAACAACGCTACACGCGCATTCATCCATTTAATATAAAATGCGAACGTTCGTTATATGGAAGAAAGTGCGCAACACCGCAAACAGAAAAATTCAAAAAATCAATGGTATTTTCTAGACACTTCAAACTTGCACCTTATTATACTAGAATGAATTGTTAACCCAAAACATGTCTACGAGTTCTGAACAAAAACTGTGAAAGTTTGATGAAACTTTGTTGATTTTTTCATTCTTTCAAGTTTCGATTTATTTGCAAGGTTTTTGTTTGATAATGAGCTACAATTTTA